TGCGAAACAGTGGAAGCTGAGGCAGCAGAAGGAGCTAGATAGGAGATGGCATGGTGAGCTTCTCAGCCCATTAGTGAGAGAGCATTGGGCAGCAGGCTTGCTGGCAAAGTAGGGTAACTCTGGACATATATCATTGGCGCTAGAGTTTTGTAACATTTGTGTGGGCCAGATAGAGGCCAGGTCAAAGCAAAAGGCCCATGGGTCTGACGAGCCAAGCACCTGCAGTATCTGAGATCTAGAGAAATGCCTTGTTATGGACAAGGTTGAGAAGAGGTTGTCTTAACCAAAGAACTATATCTTGACTCTCTTCTTAATCCTTATTGGAAACTATTACTTCACTAAAAAAAAATCCATAATGATTACTATTGTCTGTGAGTCTGTGTGACAACTGTAATGGAAGACGGAATACAGTAGAGAAGTAGAGGAATGTCATGGGAGAGAAGAATGATGTCAGAATCCACCAAAATGTAGGAGAAAGGAGGCATTTCTGACAATCAGCTCACAGGAATGCTGTGGATGTTGATGCCCCCTTCCTGGTGAAGTTACAGGAAGTCAGACACCTCTTCCACAGAGTCATTTTATACATGTGTAAAGTACTATGGGAAATGCAAAGGTGAACAAACAGGTTTTAGGGGCTCCAAATCTGGTTTGATCAAAAGTTAAGGCAGTGAAGCATAATGCTAAAAGATAAGATTGTAAGACTAAATTGAGCTGAGGTCATAGAAGGCTTGAATGCCCAGAGAGGTATGTTAGTGAAAACTTAGAGTGAGGGAGTATCAAACATAAACATGCTTTAGGAAATGGTAACCCAGAGAAGCTTACCTTCCTGGCTCACAAAGTCATCTTCAGCAAACCTATTGAAGTTGCCACACAGCCCACAAGTCTTGTTGAAATATCTGTCTGACAGCAGGACTTGTAAGTTGCCATTGCGATCAATCTTTGCCACAAAGCCATAGGCCTCACTGGACAACTTGTAGTAACCTGCTTCAGTTTCTAGATACAGCCCATTGGAGGCATAAGGCATCGAGACACTGCAGGGGAAAAGATACGCTCAGAAAGTGAACTTTTCCTAGATTTAAGGAATGGCCCTCCTTCCCTTCAACATCACTCCCAAACTACAGATTATTATAGATTTTGGTTGAAGGTCAAGCTAATAGTCTAGGGCCTGGGTTCTCCCAAACCTGGCTGCTTATTGCTTCTGTGCACATTTATTTCCTCACTTGGCCCCAGGTCTTTTATCAGTAAAGTGAATGTGTGCAAGAGAAACCCCACGGTCCTTTCTAATTCGGGTACTCTGGGCTTCTGACTTACTTGTGTCTCCCTTGCATCACAGAACCATTGACAAATACATGGATGTCAAAAAATTCTCCAAGGTACACAGAAAGGCTCACTCTCTTGCCATTTTGAAAGTCCCCTGAAAGAAAAGAAGAATCAATTGTATAATAATTGCAAAACTATAACAATAATATAGAATTATTTTTCATTTATAATCATTATGTCTGCATAAACATTTCCTCAAAACAATAAATAAATGAGCAATGAAACAAAAATCTTCTTAAAAATCTCATTTACTCACTGATCTCTAAATATATGTTTTGAGTGTCTGCTGGGTGTATAACCCCACCGTGAACCCTTACATTTCAGTTAAGAATAGTGTAAAAACATGACCGTCTCCCTTTGGGAGTTTAAAATCGAATTATAAAGATCAGATACACTTGCAGCAATGAAGTACATGATAGGGCAGCAAATAAGAACTCTCAGTTATTGATAGCAAGCGTCCCATTGTTAGATGTCAGCTCACAGTGGCCTCACGTCACAGGGTAGAACTGCTTCATTGAATTTGCTGATCTGTCATCTTCATGGAGCAGATCATCAGATTCTCCTCCAGTGGAGCCAACAGATAGATTTTAACAGCCAGTCTTTCCCTTAGCTTCCAACTGCTTACTCATTGTACCACCACGGTTCTAAACCCCAATATAGCGGTTTTTAAAAATATGATTATAGAACATCCAAATCAGAAACACAGGCTCTTTGTTTAAAATGAAAATTAATGAATTTCCTATTATTTTACTGGATTTGAGTCTCCAGGAGAAGAATATTGTGATTAAATTACCTCATATATGGGTATGGTGCATGAAACTTAATAAGGACTCAAGAATAAACAACTCTGAGTCGTGGTGATAAAGAAGAATATTGACTATATCATGGGCTGCCAAAAGAACAGAGATATGTCTTGGAGAAAGTGAAACAAGAGTGTTCCTAGGAAACAAGGATAAAGAAAGTACATCTCATACACTTTGGTCCTGTTGTCAGGGTGGGGGGGGTTCAGTCCTTGGAGAAGGACATCATCCCTGGAAAGGTGGAGGGTCAGTGTAAGAGAGGAAGACACTCAATAAGCTGGACTGACATGATGACGGGCTCAAGACGGTTAGAGATGGCAAGGACGGCACAGGCTAGGACACGTTTCAGATCTGTTCATAGGATGGCTATGAGTTGTACTCAGAACAATAGCATATAACAACAACAAAAAATGACATCATACCACCACTCTTGGTCAGTTTGGCAGACTGTGGTGGCATACAGTTTGGTGCATGCTCCTCTGATACTGAAAGCTATGTCACTGGTACTTAAAATATCAGCAGGGTCATCTGTGATAGAAAGGTTTCCACAGAGCTTCCAACATAAAACACGGGAGGAAGAAACACCTAAAAATCTATTTCTAAAAATTAAGTTTCTATCACACAACTAGAATCATTATTACTTACAAGAGATGAGAAGACAGAAGTGGGAAGTAAAAATTAATAAACAGAGAATAGGCATATATTAAAACAGGTGAAAAGAAAGGAAAAATTTTTTAAGAAAAGGAATAATCATCACAAGTGTCACAGAAAAAAAAAAGGAAGACATAGAGGGATAGAAAGAATAATGGGAATCGGAATTCCAGAGAGGAAGTGGGGGAAATGTGATTCCGTTGTGAGTATTGAAATTAACATTACTGAACAAAACATTTATGATTGATTGAATGAGAAACTAACTTGTTTGCAAATTACAATTTAAAAAAAAAAATGTTGGAAAGGAATCTAATCCACGTCATTCACTTGGAAGGCAAGAATCTTACCATGAAAATACAAATGCTCGTCATGACTTATACCGTGTCAAAGGCAATAAAAAACTATTTCTATAATGACTGAAAAAGTTACCTAGTAGGTTCCATTTAGTGTTGCTTTTAGAAGACAGGGCTAACACAGCAGTACACACACAAAACTATTATTTAAAAAGATTATTTACAGAGAACCAGCACTTTAGATGTCTGGGAGAGAAAGACTTGAAATTACTTTAGGGATCCTTGCCACCATAGGGTCATCCCAGAAACCAAAGAGGACAATCGAGTCTGGGACAGGGAGCTACAAGCAGGAGAAAGACTCACTTTCACAGATAGCATGCTGAGGAGTTAGAGAGAAAACTGCCTTCAAAGCCTTCTGGACAGAAACTACTTAAGGGGAGCACCTAGTCTCATACCACTCTGCCACTCTGCAGACAGAGGAGGACAACAGAGTTTGGAAAAGGAGTCTGCATTATGATGAGATTCATGCAGGGCTGCATTGCAGACCAGTGAGAACCTGAAGGACTTTAGGGAAGGCAAACTTTTCCAGAAAGGACTTCAAGTAGAGCGAGTGGCAAATCCTACTGATTAAACTTTTAAACTGGAAACTAACCAATAACATCATAGAGATAAGAACTATTAGCAACTTACACAGACTTAACAGAAACAACCTAATAGTAAGAAAAACCTTCACATAAGAAGGTTTCATCAAGAAAGCGGCAGGCAACTTCAAAAATTGTAAAAAAAAAAACCCTAATTAAACCATCTCCAAAAAAAAGTAGTGCATACTGCAGACCCAATGAATACCCTAAAGTCAGTGAGACAAAAGATATATATTGACATGGAGTCATTCAAACAGAAGGTACACATGATGGAAGAAACAATGGAAGCCAGAAATAAAATTAATATCTGAGAGGCAGAGCATCAGAAGAAATATATTGATGTGGAATTATTTGAAAAGCTACAAAAGAAGGTACAAACGATGGAAGAAATAATGGAAGCTATTAGAAAAGCAAATACTCCAAAGACAGGGAGCCAGAAGAAATATATTGATAAGGAGGAACTTGAACAACTAAAGAAAAAAAAATGCAAAAGATAGAAGAAGGAATTAAAAATACAGACAAAGTGGTGCAAGATCTTAGAAATCATCACAAGACAGAAAGTACAGCAAACACAGTACTGGAAATAAACAGAAATGCATAAAAATGCTATCCAGAATATTAAGATTGAAATGGCAGATGTGTTCAACAAATTGGAGGGACAAAAAAGTAGAACAAAAGAGATGGAAAAGAGAATCAGTAAGCTGGAAGACAAGAACCTCAATGGAAACATGTTGTTATTGCTGTTGTTGTTAGGTGACATCAAGTCTGATTCATAGTGATCCTATGAACAAAAGATCTGAACCCTGTTCTATCCTGCACCATCCTCACACTTGCTGACACACACAGGGGCCCATTGCAGCAGTCACCATGTCAATGGAAACATGTTGTTGTTGTTGTTGTTATGTGCCGTCGAGTCGCTTGCAACTCATAGCGACCCTATGTACAACAGCCCTAAACTCCGCTCTGTCCTGTGCCAA